CACTGAGGCTCAATGAAATAAGGCATCAGCCCAAGGGCACCCAACTATTAGCAAAGGGCTCGGCCTAGGATTGGCCCAGGTCTGTCTGACTCAAGTGTAGCCGTTCAGAACCCTGTCTCCAGAGTTCGTGTCCACATTCTACTACATATTAGCTGTTGAAACCTAGGCTGGCCCTCTCCCAGCCTCCCTTTCCTAATCTCTGAAAGGGGAGATAATAACATCTGCTTCATAGGGCTGTGATGATCAGGTTGCTACAGGAGACGTGTGTAGCGCAGAGCTTGGCCCATAGTGAAAGCTCAGTAAGTCATCTGCTTGCCTATGCTGACGCAGGCCATGACAATGACACCAGGCATAGGTTGGTGATCTCTGTGAGGGGGGGAGGGGGGCTGGCACAGAGGAGGCACTCAATACAGCTTTGTTGAATGAATGAGGTACATTCCAGGATTCACTCACTCATAAATATCAGATGAGGATGGATCTTAATGATCAACTATCTCAAGTCCCTTGTTTCACAGATTAAAAAAAAAAAAAAAACTGAGACTCAGAGAGGTTCCTGGAGCTGCCCAAGGTCACACAGCTCAGCCACTGGTGCCAAAGACTGGAGCTTGGGAGGGTGGGAAGGAGGCATGGTTAAGAGCAGGATGCTGTCCGGAGAAGGGGGGCAGGGATGCTGCGTTGATTCCATATGGATGTGGAGAGCTGTAAACTGGCTGGGGGAGGTGAGGGAAATGTGGTTTTGGAAATGGAAGAAGATGACTTTAGCAGCCACTCTCAGCCCAGAGGGAGGGGGCGATAGGGAGGGTAGTGGGGGAGGGCGAGGGCTGTGAAAGTCAAGAGCTTATTAATGCACAGAGAAGGTTTTAACAGTGGAGAGAGGACTGGATTTGAGAGCTGCAGCTCAGGAAGTGGCAGCGGGATTTGGCAACAGCTTGGATGGGGGGAGGGGAAATGGACCCCCAAGCTGAGGTTCAGAGAGGAAAGGGGCAGAACTTTTGCAGAGGGAAAAAGGGGAAGGAGAGGAGGGTAGAATCAAGGAATTTTGTAGCCCAAAAATCGGGGCTGTGGGCCAAAGGCGCCTGAATTCCCTAGGCCCTAGGGGCTCTGAACCTTTGATCTTCTCTTCCTGACCCTCCCAAGCCAAACTCCATTACCTGTGCTTCCTCAAACCCCTCCCCCCACCACCACCACCACCAATCCTCTCACAGGTATCTCTGAGGGTGTCCCACTCTTAATGACACCCATAAAAAAGAGAGACCCTGGCTAGGTGTTTGAGTAGAAGGGACTCAGAGCCCACTCTCAGGGTGGACCAGAAAGAAGACAAGGGTACCAAGCTAAATTGGGCAACAGAGGTCCAGGGAGCCCGCTAGAGACCTGAGCTGAGCATGGGGGAGGCACAGGGAGTGGAGAATGCTGGTGTCAGAGGCAGCCGAGAAGGTTGAGGGGGACGGATCTCAATGTGGCCAAGAGGAGGGTTCTTGGCAGGCGCAGTTCCTGTCGGAGAGGGCGGAAGCCAGATGGGAGGGGGCGAGAACACGCAGGAGCACAGGAAGGTGGAGGCTGTGGGTGTGGGCTGGGAGTCAATGCCCTGCCCCCACCTGAGAGCCTTTGACCAGACTCCTGGGTGGGGTAGGGGGGGTCATCCCCCCAGACAGGGAAGGGTGGGAGAGCCACAGTCGGGAAACAGGTCGCCCAGGGTGCGCTGGCTGGAGCATAGAGGATGCCTGTGTCCCTGAGAACCAGGCCTCCTGGGCCCGCTGACCACAGAGATGTCCTGCATCACGGAGGGGGGGCCTCAGTCCTGGGGCTCTGGTCCCCTCTGGCAAACTCTCCATCTCTCTGGGCCTCAGTGCTCTTCTCTGTAAAAAGGGGGCTGGGCTGGTGGACGCTGGAGCTGATCATCACCTTAGTAAGCCGGTTAAAATGCAGAATCCAGCCCCTGGGCCCTCCCACCCATGGAGCATATCCACTCCCCACGCCCACCCCCACCCCCCTTCATTCTGAACCACCGTCCAAGATGAGCATGGCCTGATTTGGGCACTGCCCAGCCCCAGACAAGTAGGACAGCCCTTCTAAGGGGGCAGTGACGTAGGACATCAGGCAGCAGCCTTCTTTCCCCTCCCTGGCTGGCTTTGGGGGTGGGGGAGAGCTGACACCTGATCCCCTTAATATCTTAGCCTAAAAGCAGGACTCTTGGACCCCGAGAGCTCCTCAGTTATCTAACTGAGCCCCTACTGTAACAACCATCATTTCTTTTCTTTTTTTTTAAATATATTTTATTGAATTTTTACAGAGAGGAAGGGAGAGAAATAGAGAGTTAGAAACATCGATGAGAGAGAAACATCGAACAGCTGCCTCCTGCACATCTCCTACTGGGTATGTGCCCGCAACCCAGGTACATGCCCTTGACCGGAATCGAACCTGGGACCCTTCAGTCCGCAGGCCGATGCTCTATCCACTGAGCCAAACCGGTTTTGGCAACCATCATTTCTTGAGCATGGTGGAGGTCCCACCAGGTCCTTACAGCATGATCTCATCTACCCTTCCCCCAGCCTCTGAGTATGGGGGTATTCTCCAAGTTATACAGTCTGAGGAAACAAGAGGCTGTAAGAGGCTAAATAACTTGCCCAAAGTAACGCAGCTGGGAAGAGGGCAAGCTGAATGGGCACCAGGGGCTGTGACTCCTGAGCCTGTGGGCTTCATCATTGGACTGGATACCGGTGTGCCAGGCACTGTGCCCAGCACTTCGCCATCTGATCTTTACGGATCATCTTCTTTAATCCTCAGGACAAGCCCATGAGGAGGCACACTCATCCCCATTTCATCGATGAGGCAACAGGCTTGGAGAGATTACTGGCTTGGCCAAGTTACAGATAATGGCCAACTCCTCGAATGCCTCCCACATGGAAACCTTGTGCTAAGCACCTTCACACGCGCTGCTTCATTTAATCTCCACGTCTTACAGATGAAGAAACGGAGGCACAGGGATACTGTGACCTGCCCAAGGGGGCACAGCCAGCTATGATAGGTCCAGGGTTTGAGGTCAGGAGGTCAGGCTCCTCCGTCTGCAAGCTGAACAAGTGTCTTCTTCTCCGAGCGTGGTCCCCGGACCAGCAGAGGCAGCACCTCCTGGGAACTTGTAGACAGGCAGATTCTCGGGCCCCACCTGCTACATCACAAACTCCGAGGGCAGCGCTTCGGGATCCCCGGGCATTCTGATGGTCCCTTAAGTTTAAGAACCACTGGCCTCAATTACATCACCTTTTCCACAGTAACCTCTAACTAGGTTAGAGGCAGGATTCAAACCCAGGACTCCAAAAGGAAAAGCCAAGTTGGCCCTGGTTTGGCTCAGTGGATAGACCATCTGCCTGCGGACTGAAGGGTCCGGAGTTCTATTCCAGTCAAGGGCACACGCCCCCCGGGGTGCGGGCTCCAGCCCCAGTAGGGGGCGTGCAGGAGGCAGCCGATCAATGATGGTCTCTTATCATTGATGTTCCTCTCTCTCCCTTTCTCTCTGAAGTCAATCAATGCATATTTAAAAAGCAAAAGAAACGTCAACTTGTTTCCCACAGCGTTCCCCTTCCTTCCCCACCCGTCTCAGGACCTCTCTCTTCTCCACCCCTCCTCCCAGGATGACCTGTTCGCGGACCTGGCCAACCTGAGCCACCTCTTCCTGCACGGGAACCGCCTGCGGCTGCTGACGGAGCACGTGTTCCGCGGCCTGGGCGGCCTGGACCGGCTGCTGCTGCAC